CATCAAAATTTTCTTTAATAACGTCGGTTTCAAGATACTTTGCATAACAAAGTTCTTTTAGACTAGGAATATTCGGCTAAGGCTTTTTAAGTACTACATGCCAATAAAAGCCAGTCGAACAAACGCTCATTTTTTAATTTAACCTAATTAACGATAACAAAAACGAGATTAAAAAGACGTGACGTTAAAACTATCTCGAATTTACAATAAAATTCGACATATAATAAAACAAAAGGCCTTTTGTCAATGTTACGGCTTTAGATTTTCAGTTTTGAAGTGAAATTCGTGACAAACGTTCATTTTTTAGCTAAAATCTATATAATAAAACAAAAGAAGAAATTCTCGTTAATGTAATATCTTAATTAATTAAAAATTTAAACTGTAACTTCTTTTAACTACACTACATTAATTGTTTGCCACAAAAATTGCTATAAAAAATCATTAGTACATGACTTGTGTGAACACTAATCTTTACTAATAAATTACTAGTAACGACGACGCAGCAATTTTGCCGATCAATTTTATGCATAAAATCTAACATGTACGGTACATGTATTATTTTTCTTGAGACATGGAAAAAATTACGACAATCTCTTTTGATAAAAAACATGTATTTAGAATCTAAGCTAGATAAGATTTCCAAATGGTTGTGCAATTCCAATATCGAGTGTACATACTTGTTTATTTAAAAAAAAGATCTGCGCTCCCAGCGTTAGAGTTAACTCTTAAATTTGTTAACAATCTGAGCTTTTTTTATCTAGAAAGGTATTTTATCAATGAGTTTTTATAAAGTATTATTGGATATTGTGCTTCTTTATGGAAAATGATGAATGAGTTTTTGAAAATAATTTTTTTCATTGGTTTAAAAATTTTAATGTTTATTTTTTTTGTTTTTCGCTTTAAGTTGACTAAAGATTGTAGTGGATCACAGAGGATCAGCAGTATTATTATTGTTAACTCAAAAGAGAACGAACTGTTATTTTAATATATTACAATTGATTTATTTTTATTATAGTAACCTCACTACAAATAGGTATTCTTGTAAAGTAAACGAGGATTGCCGTATATTATGCTAACATACTGCGCATATAGGTAGGGGCCCTGGATAATGAACCTAATTTTTTAGAACTACTTATATGCAGTTATGTGATGTCGATCTGTATTTTTCGATAAATATTCTCAGCGCACGTTCACTTAACAGTAGTAGCACGATGAAATTGGAAAAATTGACCATCCTTTTACTACATGTACAGTATATAAAGCTTTAATAATATATAACCGCCTTTATAAGAATTTATTTATTCAATGTGCACAAAGAGAAAATCTTAGCGAAACTAGGTTAATAAGAACATTCAATATGCATGTATTATAGATTTTATTTATATTTTTCATTATGTATTATCCAATATATACCTATGCATCCATATTTTAGTTTTGATAGTCTAAAAACCATACTAACTATGGGCTTTAGAAAAAAAATATTATTTTTTTCTTTACAAAGGTTCTCAAAGCTTGGAATTAAAATGATGAACGATTATTCTCTCAGGACTTTCGTTATTTTAGTTATAATAATAAGATCTGCAAATATATTGTCATAAACGAAAAGTTATAAATAGATTTTACTAAAAAAGATTTTTATCATCAGATTGATTATTACATCATTCAACATATTCTCAATAGGCAAAGCAATATGCCTCAGGCATTAATTAGATTACGAGCAGCCAGTGTGTCTATCTGTGTACAAAAAATTCGTGTAAAATCTTATGGATTCCTGGGCCTGCGAAAATATGCGGAATATGAAATCCATATAACAGTAATTTAGCTCTGGCACCAAAGTCACGTCACGATTTAGGAAAATCTGAAGAATTTCAACATTGATCTAGATTTTCTTTACACATTTAGTATATGTCTGATCGAGATGGTTGGACACAATCGTTTCCGTATTTCCGTTACAGTGAGCTTCGAGCATTTCATAAGGTGCTTCGTCAAAATTTTCCGCGATTTCTTTGTGGTGATTTTCCCGAGAAGAAAATTTTCAGTAAGAAATACCGAGTTTTCTGTGTAAATTTGTACTTCTATAATTTCTTCGGTTAATTTTGTTAGGGATTTACTGCACAGATAATTTGTCCCATGAATTCCTATTGAATCGCGCATGTAAAATAGAAAAATTCTTAATTATATTAGTAAAATCTTTTGGCGATGTTGACGTTGTATTGAGATTTCTTGGAATTGATTTGGTAGATATTTTATCAAAGTTTTTCAAATATTTAAAAATTCGTTAATTCATTTATTTCTATAGGATAATTTGACACCCGGACGAATTCCAAATGAAAATTTATAGGGTTTCGTACTTCGTATCACACAGAGTTATCCAATAAATTTCAAATTCGTCAGTAAATGGAATCTATGTACATGTAGTTTTCTTTAACGATCACGACTAAACGATCAAAGATGTCATGTACTTAATGAATTGACGCATAATAGAATATGTACATACATGTATATGTACGTAGTGAAGAATGTCCCTATAAAATATAATTACACGCACAGTATTACCATCATTTTTATAATACATGACGTTGTATTTTCTTAGCGGTTATTATAATATGTAATCATCAAAAATCTTTAATGTACATTTGCCTGATAAAAGTCATCAACTAATGGTCAAATTTATTAATACAGTTTGGTGGAAAGTAATGGCGGTTAAAATTAATTTAAAATTCTATTTTATAATGTAAATATTCGTTTCTTCACCCTTTTCTTAATAATAGATCAGATGGTTTTCTATTGGATTAAGATCAGGAGGTCCTTCAAGAAGCTTCGGACTTGACAATGAATGAATTATTTGGTTTCTGTGGCTCAGTGCTTCGGATCATTATCTTAAGTCCCAAAATTCGCTCATGATTCTGTATATATTTTCAAAAAGATTGTTAATTAAAATTTCATGATAAAGCATCTAATCCATGTTTTGAATGAACATATGGAAATCAATTATTTCACATGCAAAAAAGATATTCCAAATATGAACTTTCACAAGATGTTTTGGAATTCCTTTCTGTGAGATACTTGTTCTGACTTTATAAAATGCTCTTATAATATTTGGAATATTCAAATATTTGAAATATGATTTCTTCTGAAAATATTATTTTTTCTTGATATTATTTATCCATTTCACTTAAGCTAACTGTTTTATCTTTTGCAAGTAAAGATACAGTTTTTAAATAATTTGTATAATATTTAAGCTTGCTAAGTTTATAATTTACTTTCATATAGATACTTTAATTATAATAATTTTATTATATAGTTGTGACCAAAAGT